AGCCTGAAACCTAGAATCTCTTTCCTGAGGTGTAAGAGGGCGGGTTTCTTCTACAGAATCTAAAGCTGAGATTGATGCCGACAAGGCTATGATAGGGTTCCTAAAGTTTGATGGCAGATTTTTGCACCATTGTAAAAAGTGCATAATCTCCTTTAAAAGAAAGTAAAAATGTACGAAGAAGAAAAAGAAGAAGAAGTAGAAAGAAGAAGGCAGGGTTTAGACAGAAACAATCTTGAGAATAAAAACACTAACTGCCATTGATGTTGAAGAAATCTTGTCCTCTCTCTTTCTCTCCTCTTTTGTCTCCTTGCACAAACAAGAGGGAGGTGTTGCAAAGACAACAGATTAAGAAGAATTTAACCCCCCCTCCCAACCAAAAGAAAAAACAATGTCCGCCCTAATCCGACATTCTGAACTGCATAATATTTAATATGTGAGCCGTCCCAACACCAGTAGGTATTGTGGGCACATTCAAAAGTGTCTCATATGGAATATTACTGTCATATTAGTGGGCCCAAACGGGTTGTTACCTGGACTCTGGCCTGGGATCAAGACCTATTGGAAGGCCAATAAAAGTTAGGTTTACTCACTTCTAGTCAAAGGGGATTGGTTCTAAGAATGTCATAAATTGGGCAAAAAGATCATCCCCCTGCCTCTAGATATTGGAATAATTTTTTGTCTAGATCTTTGAGATTTGCAGAGGATTGTCTCTTGGCTATAGGCAAATGCAGTTGTGGATCCTTGCGAAAGACAGTGCCGTTGGGAACAATTTTGCGATTAGTAGACCTCTATCCTAACTAGAAAATATTGCATCCTTTTTTTTTCATACTGCTGTGCTCTCTCCATGAATTTGGACTGATTCTGTTACACGCAATCTGTATGCCTTTTGTATTTCCCTGAAATAGTCAATTTTTTCAAAAAACTATAAATATATGAGTTGTCTGATTCTGATTCAAAAGGGAGATATCGGCACATCAAAAGCTTCAAGTTTCTACATCATGATATATATAAAACATATGATTTCTTTGAAACTAGTATGCTAAAGTTCTATTATTTTTTTTAAATGATCTCCTTGGGAATTTTCCAACTTATTGATGATAGAAAAGAAGCCTCTCAGGGTAAATGAAGGATCATCCACAAACACAAAGTTATGAATGCGACCTTTATTGCTATAATCCACAAACAGAGATGCCATAAGGCTCATCATTAGCACCTATAAGATCTTTGGTGAAAGTTTTGGCAACTAGATTAATAGAAGTGTTGCATCATGCCGTATCTTCTTGCAAGGGGCATTTGTGAAAGGCCACCAGATCCTGGATGGGCTTTTGACAACCCATGAAATGATAGTCACAAAAACAAAGTGCCAGGTGTCATATGCAAGCTAGACACCGACAAAAGATACGACCTTGTAGACTGAGAAGTGTTGGATCAAATAGCGAAAGCTATATCGTGTGATCCATGGTTTTTCAAGCTTCTCTTGAAGGGCTGGTAATTTTGCATCTGCAAATCTATGACGATGCCCTGATCTTTATTGAACTAGAGAAAAGGCGAATACTAATATGTGACTGTTTGGTACTTGAAGTTACATCTATCTCTAAATCAATTCATTTAATCTTAAGCTCATATAAGTTGATATGAGTCTATAAACGTTGGAGGAGCTAGCTGCTAGGACTGGGTTTGAGGCAAGACATATTAATAAGTAAATATTCGGGACTGCCTCTCTATGTGTACCTATTAAGTAAATGGATGTAGTGGTGGAATGGCTTAAGAGAAAGTTGACTACTTATCCTTGGGGGTGTGGATCAGCCTTATCAAGGCCACTTTAGCAAATTTACCAATTTATTCTGTCCCCGTGTAAGAAGTTGCATCTGTAGCCAAAAAATTGAAAGGTTTCAAAGTGATTTCTTATGGGGCGTTCACAAGGTCAACACAAGTTCCATTTAGTATGCAGGTGAACAGTGCCTTCCAATAAACAAGGGGGCTTGAGCATTAGAAAGATAAAAGAGCTACGAGGCATTGCTTTGGAAGCCGTGGTGATGAGATGCCTAAAACACCATCCTTCTATGGAAAGAGTTGATTGGCTCACAAATATGGAATGGAGGAGAATGAGTGGTGGATAAACAGCGCCATGCATCGCCAAAGGATCTTGGGAGTCTGGCATGGCAGAAACTCAGTCAGAGAAAATTTCCTAAGAATTTTAGCTTGACATGAAGCACTTGATTGATATCAGGTTTGAGCTACTTGCTAATGGCTGAAACTGGAATATGTATATCTTTCTATCACACACTTAGGATATATATGATGTGGTTAACTTATTGGCATGCTTTTTCGCAAGTACTTTATGTCTCTATTATACATTAGACCACCTGATGGATTTTTTTGGTGCTTGCTTTCTTGTGGCATCCTGCCGCATTGCATTTCATGTGGAATCATTGATTCTTATTGTTTTTCTTCTCTAGATATTCACTGATTGACAATTAGAGTGATTATTATCTTAACAAGTGATTCTTATCTTAACAACTCTAATTTTTAGAGTGCATGATGTATTCTTTGCTAATTCGGTGCACCTGTTTTAGTGCAATTCTCTGCCATAAATTTGAAAGCACAATGTGACCGGGCAAGTCAATACCGATTAATTTTTTTAATCTTTTCTTATGTATTACCATACAAGTGTCCTAATACAGAATAAAAACACAAGAATACCAAGGACTCTTACTTGCTTGTCATCAAACGAAATTACATTCATAAAATGAATCTAAAAATTACATAAAAGTTGCAATTGAATCTAGAAAGCATGAAATAAGGAAATACCACATACCTTGCCTCAAGTGACCCCTAAGGACTTCGTACACCTCACACTGGGTCTCCTCCACCAATGGCATATGGGATATAGGTTCAAGTACTTGTTTCACAACTTGGGAAGCCTAGACAAAACCAGCAGAGAGCATAACATGGGATAATCTCGACCAACGCTCGACACATAGCATAAGGCCAAGACCTATGGCTAAGCTTTGTGGCTCAAGCGTGCCACTCCTTCAGGGTTTTTTTTTCCTTTCCAAACTCTAATCTTAGATAGAGAAGAGAGATTAGAGAGGGGCATGCCACTCTTTTGGCTCAGAGAGAGAGAGAGATTAAGATACGAGGTGTAGAGAATGAGCCCCCATAGCTGGTTTATATAACATAAAGGCTAGGGTTTCTAAGGTTAGGGTTTTGATATTATTATAAGACTTAATCTTGACTTTTGATCATGGAAACCTGTGAGGTGAAGAGATCTTTTGCATTCATTTTTTAGGTCAACCATCATGATTAAAGGAATGAGGTGGAACCATTATCCCTTAGGTTCCATAACTTTATTCCCATCAAATTTGTATAGAGAAATTACTTAACTCTTACACGTTCCCTTTTTGAAATCAATTATAATCTCTACACAAACTCTTTCCTAAAATTTTCAAATCAATATGCATGCTTTTGACACATGCCTCAAATAGGATAGAAAGAAACAAGGAGGTGGGGCAGCACCACCCTATGGGTGGTCATTTGGGTGCCATGCTCCACTAATTGGTGGGCCTAGTAAATCCCAATGGGCCCCCAATACATTAAATATATTTTACAGATATTAAAGTAAATTTTATAAAGCCACTAAGTATTTGATTTTCCTCTTTGATTAAAATAAATTTGAAAAATTGATTTTTCTTTATTTAAAATCATTTTGCAGTAAAATAAAATACCCCGAGAGGTCTAGAAATTCATTTTAATTATCTGAAAAATAATTAAAACATATTAAAACATATCTAAGAAGATATGATGGGAATTGGATCCACAGAGTTAGGATTACAACAAATATATTGAGGACTCCCTCCTTTCTAGAGATCGGATCTCACTGATACCTTATCAAACTGGTCCAACAATTCCTATGATCCACTGCCCTTCGCAGGGGTTCATGATTGGACTGTCAAAGTCATCCAATAAATGAAGGAGACACGATCCTAGTCCATAGATTACAGGTCTCTCCCTGAGGACAAGTTCAGGCCCCATTTTAGCACTATGCTTCATAGGTCTTTCCAACACAGGCCAATGTGGCAGGGAGTCATCTCTTCCGCACATGTATACATCACACACCTTTAACCAAAGGGCCCATTCCCGGATGGCTCTTTAGTGTACTTGTCGTGTGATAATAATGATGAGATTTTAGGTCCTTGTTTTATCTGGTCAACTACCATACACCAGGTTCACATTTAGTCCCCTGGCGTATCTGTCCTGGGTGCAACTCCAACGTCATCAAGGGATGACTCCACATCAAAGCCCTTATCGGTTTTGCTCACACAATGCTCAGGATAACGGGTTTTAGACATCACCTTGAGCCATATGCTGTCAAAACTCAGGTGAGTCTCGACATTAGCAATGCCTCACCACACTCCCACTGGAGCCAATATTTCACTATATAATTTCAATACGTGCTCTCATAAGGCCTTTAAATGACCACATAACCCCAAAAAAATTGTGGTGAGAAATTTTTGCTTTTCATTCTTCTTGTCAACATTTGTTTTTATCTCTCCTTCTCATCTCAAAACATTGTTTTGGCATGTGCTTTAAGAGTCACCTTTGCCAATGATGTCAAGACATCGCCGTCGCTGAGTCCTTAAGACTTTTGGACTTGAGCTCAATGCCAGTGTGTCAAAACATGGACTGCCTAATGCCTAGGCGGTCCAAAAGGCCTGGGCGCATCGCCCCAGCCTAGGCAGCCAAACTAGGCTGCCATCATAAGAACATGCTCTAACCATTAGCTCATACATTTTCCTGGTATGGTTGCTGGAAATTTATTGATGTACTATGATATATGTCAGTGATTGCATCTAAGCTTCTTTTATGTGTGGAAAACTACACTGCTGATATGATGGAGAAGCTGGCAGAGATTTGAACTGTATTTCATTGACAGTTTTTATTTATTTATTTGACCAACTGCTACAATGATTAACAGCTATTTTTCTTGATAATGGCAGTTTTCAATGACTCAAAAGGGACTGAAGTATCCTTAGATTCTCTAAATGAAAGATCTGAAGCTGACAGACTTGTTGATAGCATGGATTTTGGTGAATTATGTAATGAGTTTGAGTGCATCAGTAGCCCTGCTGTAGAATCTACAGCAAGGCAGCTTGCACGAGATATTCTGGAGTTACGAGAAGGCAATCGTTCTCTTGGAACTTTTTCAATATCGGTCAAGTACAAGGTTGACATTTCTTTTGAAAGCTGTGTTGAGAAGCTTTTAGGATAAGTATTGCTTGCCATTGAATATTATTTTGATAAGTTCCATGACACAATGCTGCTAAATAACTGACAGACCCAGACTTTTCTATCAACTAGAAAGCTATGTCAGTTGCGAAATTATGTAAAGGAAACTGTATGTTTTCCTCTTGAGTTGCTGTCTCAAATAACCTACCGGAACTTGTATCATTTTGTTGGTTATTTGGTTAATTTCATTGGTTTTGCACCCTTTGCAAACTCTCATCTGTTATTTAGTACTTGGACTGCTAATGCTTGTTTGTTGTATTAATGTGTATGGAACTCTATGTTCATAACGACGTCATGCTTGCTTTTGGTACTCCAGAAAAACAAATCTTGATCGAACCTATATTTGCCCAATGGATACAATCCGCTCATGGTAAGACTTCATATGGATTTGATGTATGCTTATCTTCAACAAACGGCCCAGCATTCAATGCTGATCGAAGCTTATGGTTTCTTATTATATATTGTCAGTTTTGATTTTATACTTCTCCATATTTGACACATTGTTCAAAATGTGTTGTTCGATATTCACATAGATCTTCTGTTGGATGTGTCATGTAAAATGTGCCAGGATGAAGACATGATTATTGATTTTGATGGAGATGGTGTTGTGGCAAGGTGTCGCTTCTTATAGAAATAACGAAATAACAGGAAAAATAGGTCGTTTTTGAGGCCACCATTTGTTCCCTTCCTCTATTTCTAACTAGAGTCTCCTTATTATTAGGAACAATGCAATGGAGGGTATTTTCCCATGATTAAAGTTGGGAGGAAGGATTTCCCTTGCATTCGGAAATCATTTCCCTTTTTACCTTGGGGTTGTTACCTGTTGTCATATTGAAAGTATCAATTGTAAGGATGGGTTTGTTTGTGATCGTGGTCGACAATTGCTTCCTGTGAATCGATGTAATGAAGGATATGACATTTATTTGAAATAATTTTGAGTTGTTAGAATGCCTGGAAATTCATCTTGGTGTCATTGTGGATTGGACGAGTAGAGAATATATCATGTATAATCTTTTGAGGGTTAATCATTGAAGCGTTAGTTTTAAGAGAGAGAATGCCATGCGCATGTAAGGTTCTTTCCAAAAAATGGGAATGTGTTGAGAAAGGACACCCGTCTTAGGTTGAAAAAGTACTTCAGTTATACCATTGGCAGCCAGAGTATGACAACTCGTGTTATCTTTCTTTATTGTTTTACATGTAATCTTCTTACAATGATACTGTTCTCTTTTTCTCCATTAGGCAACATTTTTAATTTTAATTATTTTCAGAGTCATTATTTATTATTTGTTATTCTTATTGTTATATACTTTACTGTCCCTTAATGACTGAGAGTTTAGAAAATAATTACAACACAATAAAGTTTCTTCTCCAATTATATAGCTCATTTATTAGTACCTCTGTGTGCTGTGAACGTTTCATGTATAGTTGCTTTGAGGTTTCATCTGGTCATCTTGGATAAAAGTTTTTTATTGGAGGCTACTACATAAGTCATCATTTCCTCATAAGAATGTATTTGCTGCTTAAATCTATTGGAATAATGTTTTCAACAATATATAATATATTAGGGATGGATCCTGGACACTAAGATGGATTTCCTGTTAAGTGCTAAGTCATACATCAAAACAAACCTAAACTCCTTTTGTTCCCAAAAGATGATGGTCTCCTTGATCCTATTCGTGATGACCTCTAACTGAGACTCCTCTTGAAGCTCCGCCTATTAAGTTCGATCCTTGTGGTTCATACTGAGGCGAGGGTGGAGGCTAGGCCCTAAGGATGGGAAACATATGGAAAATAGGCTGCAAATAATTGTTGTATGGATCCTGGTGGTACCCAACACCCATCGAAAAGATTAAGAATGAGGACCAGTGACAGAATCATGGAGGAACAGATGGTTTGTTGTTTCCTCACTAGCTTTCATTAGGTGAATACCCTCTGCTGAAGATTGTTAACCAGCCCTTTTGCTTTGACAAGGCAGCTAAATATGTGGACCTTCAGAGGGGCAGGAGCGAACCAAGCTCTTGTTAGCCAGATAAAAGGCCTCTGTTGGGTTTATGTGGCCATTAAAGGCCTTACGAGAGCTTGTGTAAGCATTTTATGTACTGACACATAAACTCAGTGAAAGTGTGGTCCTTGTGTGGACCATACTGGGCAAATGCTATTTGCCGATACTCGGACTGGGCTCGACATGCTAGCCCAGCCGAGTTTGAAAAACCCAAGATACGTGGGCATAGGGATATACTGAGAAGGGTTTAGTGGGTTAGCCCTTGATGAGGTCGGAGTATGTCCAGATGAGAGTCGAGGGACTGTGTAGTCCTTGCGTGTGATGAATAGCTTTAAGAGATAGGCTTAAAACCTCATCGTTATATCATCACACGACATGTATATAAATAACCGTATTGAGATTCACCAATGAGGGTGAACGTGTACATGTGCGAGAGATTATCCTTTTGTACCATAGAGTCTGAAAAGACAAAATTTATTCTTGGGAATAAAAAGACACGATAAGTAAATAAGTAAGAAACAAAAGAAAGCGTCGGAGATTACCTCAACCGGGCTTCTTACACCTCACACCGAGTCAGGGTGACTTGTGGGGTGAGAGATATGAACCCTCCGTTCCATAGATAGACTATCAAGATCACATGAAAGGTGCTAGAACTATTATCCCCCATTTGTTAAACCATTTTCTCATCAATTAATTTAAATAAAAAAATGATATATGATAATATTGTACTTTCTTATTTTATGTACAAACCTTCTCACACATACCAAAATTTGATTCAAAGTTTCCTCAAAGCACAAGCTTTCCATAGCACAATATTTCTTTTCCCTCAAGCCATGAGCGTGATCGCACAAAATAGAAGGCTCCTCAAGGTGGGGCGTACCACCTTAGGTGGAACCCTATGGTCCCCAACCAATTGACATGGTGGGCCAATTTATCTTATTGGGCTTCCCATGCAATATAAAAATATTAAAAATAATATATGATTTTTAGAAATTCATAAAATCATATTTGAATAATTATATCAATGTAAAATCAACATCTCTATTTTTACAAATCCAAATTTGATAAATAAAATATTCAGAGATTTAGAAAAATTCAAATAACAATTCTAAAAAATCATATAATGTCAAATCTATCATAATTAAATACTTTGATGGGAAAATGATTCATATGGTCTCGGAACAGATAAATATACACTAGGGCACTCTTACCTTCTACTGTGGACCACAGTCCCCACTTGCTTTCTTAAACCGACCCAATGTTTTCCATGACCCACAGTCCATGCAGGGGCTCATTAGTGGGTCATCAAAGTCAAGCTAATGGGCAAGGGGTCGTAGTCTTAGTCTATGGATTTCAGGTTCTCCCCTAGAGACGAAACTAAGGTCACCTAGACCTGATGCAATCCATTGCTCTATGGTGCATAGGGGTTAGCTCTCGCACATGCACAAGCTTCACCCTGAAATGTGGTTTGCTTTCTCGAAAACGGCTATCATATGTGCGTGCCGTTTGATGGTACTCGGATGAGGCTTTGACCCCATCTCTAAAGGCCTCGACCACACACAAGCTTCACCTTGAAAGGTAGTTCGCTTTCTCGAAAACAGCTATCATATGTGCATGCCATGTGATGGTATGGAGATGATGAGGCCTTGACCCCGTCTCTGAAGGCCTCCATCACACACATGCGCCACATAGTCCATCAGCTCACTCTTTCGGGCATACTCTGACGTCATCAAGGGATGGCCCTTTATAAACCTTATCGGTATATTCTCTATGCCTGGATAACATGGGTTTTTTCAAACCAAACTTACCTAGCTCTTAAACCCTTATAACTCGTTTGCTTAGTATGGTCCACACATGACCACACTCCCATTGAGTTCATGTTCCATTATATCAATAAGTTCATTTACAAGCACTCATAAGGCTTTTAATAGCCATACACATCCAACAGAGTCCTAGTTGCATTATGGTCTGAAGGACCATGATATTTTTTACCTTTAAGGTAGAACCTGAAATCAGTATACTGGGATTGCATCCCCTAGTCTATTGGTTTACTTTGGTGGTCCGATCATGAGTCTTTACAATGGACTATGGGTCATGGGAACTGCTGAGTTAGTTTGAGAGAGCTAGGTGGATCGTGGTCTGCAGTTGAAGGTGGAGTGCTCCCATATATTGATAAATTCTTGGATCTAACGGATCCAATTCCCATCAAAATTAATTAATTTTAATTAACTTTATGTTATATGATTTTCAGAATGTTTATTTGAATTTTTGTGAATTTTATGATATTTTATTTTTGCCATTTGGATTTATAATTAAGAGAAATTATTTTTTCAATGTTTTAAATAAAATATGAGATTTAAAATTCTAAATTTAAAATAAAATATTTTTTAAAATTATGTGAGACCCTCCATAAATATGAGGGCCTAATTTAGAACATGTGAGAATTTGGTGGGGCCCATGTGTGGCCACCAAAGGGTGGCACGCCCCACCCATAGGGACTAACTTGATCACCAAGCTAGGTGATAGTTATCCCCTTGTTGGTTGGCATTTCTTTTTGGATATAGCCAACGTACATGATAGATTCAAATATTTAAAATATTTAATAAATCTTGTGAATCAATTTACATGATTCAAGAAATAATGAATGGATATATTATAATAAAAGTAAGAGATATACTTTCTTTATTTAAAGATTTGATGATAATAGATTTACGAAATGGAAGATAAGGCTCTAGCACATCCCTTTGAATCTTGATGGTGATTCAAAGGGATGGATGACTCACATCTCTCAACCCACAAGTCTCCCTAGATCGACCGTAAAGATTTAATCCTACGGATTATAGCAAACCCTAAGGCATAGAAAATCTATAAAAGGAGGCTTTCCCACCTCATAAATCTCTAAACCAATTCTCTTTCTCTCTTTAAGATTTATCTCTCTCTCCCAATTCTCAAGAGGGGCCATGCCCCAACCTAGATAGATCATATCTCTCTCCAAGTTTCTAAGGGGGGCACGCCTAACCAAGATCTCTCTCTCTCTCTTCAATTCTCTAAAGGAGGCACACCCAAGCCATCTCTCCATCTCTTGTGAGTTCTAGGTGTCACGCGTAAGGCTAGAGTTGGTGGTTTTGATAGTAGGTAGCAGAGGGGAGGATCTCCTTGCTAGTAGATCTCTCCCAGTCTCTTTGATTTCTATCTCTCATTTCTCTAAAGATCAAGCCAAGAGGGCTTGAGCAAGACTAAGGCATTGAGGGTTTAGGTAGTTGGTTTTAGATCGAGATCCATATGTCATTGAGAGGGTTTTTCCATAAGTGGGAGACTGAAGAGACTGATCATAAATCCCAAGCATCATCGGAAGGAGTAGATTCGGCGTGGGATGTACTAAGCCAGGTTGAGGTAACCTCCAGCAATTTTACTTCTTTAAATTTTATTTTCTTGATGAGCTCTTCTATTCCCATAAAGCAATGAATTTAAGGTTTTGATCTATAGAATTATATTCAATAGTGGTAGCAAGTGAGAACCGTGTTTCTTTTCTTTTATTTATTTGTTTCAAGAGTTATTTGTTTGTAATTGGACATTGTGAGTGGTCTTGTCGGTGTAAGAATAAGAAAAATAAAGAAAATTTTAATTCATATACACTGTGCTTGATCATATAGTCCAACTTTCACCCTCACTGTCAGGCAGCAGAACAATTGGAAAAAGATTCCATTGATAAGGAACCAAAGGGAACTGCTTCCCACACCATTTTGTCCCTACCACTTTGTGGAATGAACTGAGAGTTGAGAAGGAGCAACAAAGCCTCCCAAGTCTGGTATCTCTGTGTCAATGAGTTTCCTCCTAGTCCTAGGCGATCAAACCAAGTGGCCACCCAAGGATTTATATGAGTGAGAAACAATCATCTCTTGTCCACCTCTAGAAGAAAACAATTTGGGAAAAGCACTTCCATAGTAGAATTTCCCAGCCAACTCTCCTTCTACAGCCTAATTTGGTTCCCTTTTTTACCGAGAATATCACCTGGCTCATGAATGGCGAGTGGGAGGAAGTATCCCTTTGCAACCCTAGAGGCCTGAGCTTTACCCATGTCATCAAGCCCATACCAATGGCAGGTGGCCTGCTGCCACAAGTGTCCTCGTGTGGCAAACTCCACCACCACTTTTCCCTAGAGGGCAGTGTTTGTCTTTTAGCTTCTTAATACGCAGTCCTTAAGCCCTTTTGGACTTGCAAAGTGTCCCAAGTTGCAAGATGGAATTTGTTAAATCCAACCATCCCCAACCACCGAGTCTCCTGTCAGGGGTGCCTATTGTTGATGGTCATTGGCAACCTGAAAAGCAACATCTGATGTACTTGGATTTTTGGAAGGGTGTCTTTTATCAAAGTTGATCTTTCCCCCCTTAAGAGAGAAACCTTGCTGCCAATCTGCATTCAACCCTTTTCACAACCTCAACCCCTTGGTCCTTTCTTGGTCTGCCGAGGCAGAGGGAGACCCAGATGGGGAAAGGGGGTAAAGTTCTCATTACTCTTTTAATAATGACAAATTATTAAGGTCTAAACTGGGTAAATAAGGGTGTCAACGAGCCTAGCCAAGCCATATGTGAGCATGTTCAAGTTCAGGTTGCATGGGTGAGAACTAGCTTGAGCTTGGGTTGAGCTCAACTGAGCTTGAACTTGGCTTGGCGTCTTATTTAAAGTAGCTTGTAAACTAACTGAGATAAGCCGCAAACAAGCTGAGAACAAACTCATAGGCACAGCAATAGACAATATAATCTTTATGTTATAACTTATGAATAAAACATCTTGAGTTTCCTATTCAAGGTGAGGTCAATATAATATAATATAGTTCAATATCATCTAATATGATATGATCTAATATAATATGCATCATTTTTTCTGTGGTATGTGTATTATGTATTAAACTAGGTCAAGCCGAGCTATTTACAGGGAAGGATGGGGATATACTCACAAAAATTTACATCTAAATTGGAAAAATATTGCTTGTACCCTCAAGAGAAAAATATGTCATACTGTCATAGCTAGAATTGGATCCCACCTCCCCCTATTGATATCAAATTACATTTTGTTGGCAGCTGGAGGGGCAATCTAGGTCCAGCTGGTATGGATGTACTTTCCGTAGTCACCAGGGGGATAGCTTGTGTTTGTATTCTGGCCTGGCAGATACTTGCACGCTAATGAAGCTGGGGCCAAGTACCTATTACTCAATGTGTAGATCTGAGTGGGGACTTCTTATTGTGCAAGGGGATTCGGTTAATTCTATAAGATAGACCCAAACCCCTTAGAGTGCCGATGGGGACTCCAAGAAACCTTGAGGTTGAAGATATCTTACAAGGCTTAAATGTTATCTTCAACACTCTGAATGCGAACTTGAGGAGGTCACAGATAACCTAGCCAAAGAAACAGTTGCACCTTGTTCATGGCTACAGCTATCTAGTGTTAAGTTTTTCCTGGCTTTGTATACACAATTTTGTCCAGAGTCCATATGACATCAATTTGTAAGTTTATATCACCAATACAATACAAGATCATTAATTATCAAAAAAAAAGAAAAGGGGGGAAGAAACAGAAAACACAATGCATGTTCAAGCCAAGCTTGAGCTTGGCTTATTCAATAATCAAGCTAGTGAAACTCAGCATGGCTTGGGTTGTCAAGCAGAAACATAATGCTCAAGCTTGGCAGCTCGTGAGCTGAGCTGAGCCAGCTTGTGAGCTGAGCTGAGCCAGCTTGTGAGCTGGCTTCGCATGTTGATAGCCCTATGGTAAATGATTGAAAAGGTACTATGCAGTCAATTTTGTTAGCTAGATAAACAAAGAAAATTTTAATTTGGGACTATGTGAAGCATCTTTCATATATCTGGCCTTCTTCTTGCTTCTATATTTGTCATTATTTTGCGTCATAGCTTGTCTACTTGTCTATAATGTTGAATATTCTTGTCATATCTAGCACAGGATCCAGTTAGATCTTTTACTGGTCAGGAGAAGTATAAGAGACCTTTGTGGGCAACTGGAGCTTTGGATAAACCTTCTGTGGTGAGTAATTGGTACACAACATGTTGACTTAGTATATTTATGTGCTTTGAAACTTGTCCCTTTTGCATGTGAACTTGCACATTTCATGAGTCACCAAACTCCTTGTGCTTTTGGATATAATTTAGCTTCTGTAAAGTATGATTTTCAGCCAAATTTGTTTCCTGTACGAGAGCTTACTTTATGCATGTTATGTTATATTTTGAAATGGATGTATGTTATATTTTGAGATGGATGGGTGTTAAGGGATGCTATATGAGGAGGGAAAAATTTTCAGCAGTGAATGTTTGAGATTGTCCAATGAAAACATTTATATATTTTAATTTGAAATGACCATTTATATTGTCCTTTGGAAGAATGTTGCGTATTTCAAGTGCTTTGAGATCACACTACCTCCTCACCTTTTATTTTAGTCATCCATTTGATAAGACAATTACTGTGTTGCTTGTGGTCAATGACTCAAAAGATAAGATTGTTTGTAGGTACACACTCAAGGTTTTGATGTTAATGTGCTTGTACATACGCATACGTGCAGAAACAATGATCGCACGTTTCTATATTGCTACTTGTATGTAACATACTGCTTTTTTTATGTATTTTGGCTAAAGAAACTTAAGATTGTCCTATGCAAATCTTTATTTTTTTGTGGGCCATTCCTTATGACTTGTAACAAATATAGTGGTCCATTAAATTTTTCTGGTAATAGCCTCAGGCAGGCATTGGTATTATATTTAGTATTATGTCTATTAATCTTTAGCGTATTCTATCCAGTCATTCATATCTCATCATATTTATGGTATTGGGATTGTGTGAGTTTGTGCATGATCCTGCTGATCACAGAATCCTATATACATTGTATCTTAAAAGGTCATCAAAAGAACTATTTGAAAAGGATCTCTTCTATCCTTCTTTGGACTTAAAACTTCACCTAAAACATGTTCATGAATTGGCTACCTGTTGGCTGTTGTCATATGATATACTTCATCTCCACTGTGGATAATTTAATTTTTATGGAGAATTAAGATAAAAACATTGTTTTATGATACAATTGAGAAGAAGCAAATAGACATGTGACAAAAGTATGCTTTCGTCTTGTGAAATTCCACGGAATAGGTATGAGAATTCCGTGGAAGTAGAATATCCCCATTTTTGTTCCACTGTGCTTGAAACTTCAGAAAGTATTCATATCTCTTTAAAACATTCACTGAAGTTGTCTACAAGCCCATAAATATCCCCATTTTTGCATTCATATCTCTTTAAAACATCCACTGAAGTTGTCTACAAGCCCATAAATATCCCCATTCTTGCTCCACTGTGCTTGAAAGTTCAGAAAGTATTCATATCTTTTTAAAACATCTGCTGAAGTTGTCTACAAGCCCATAAAGTTTGCAAATTTTACTAGTATAGGAATTGCGAGTATGCCATACAACTTATAGTTATCTATAATGGATAATTGTTGCATGTATAATGCAGTAATTTTTCCATGCCTGATAATTTGATTAATTTGGGTTGACATACTTTATATCTATGTAACCCATTGCATACTCTATCTATGTAACCCATTGCATACTCTTCTCACAGTACAAACGAAGTACGCATAATAATTTACATAACCACAATATTTTATCATTGATTACATAAACCTTAATGTCATGGAAGCATAAACATATATTGGCTGGTCAAGGGAAGTAATAATCTGTTGGAACTGGAGATTTTGTTTATAATTGAAATAGTTATCTTGCCCCTGTTATTCATTCCTGTAAATCCAGAACTTGCTTTGACTTTTCTTTTTAATTTGATTGCTGTTATTGTACTTGTATTTCTCCCCCCCTGTTTTTTTGGGAGGGTTATGTTCTGACTTGGTCAAATCGATGATACAAATCCAGTGTTGTCTTAGACAGTGCAGGAGATGGTGATGCTCTCAACCAGTGTGCTGAACATCAAATGGACAATCAGAGGAAAGCCTAAGTTCTTTGTTTCGAGTTTTGGGGGTGATTTGATTCTTTCTGTTAGTTCTGTGTTTACCTTAAATCAGATAAGTGGTCAAGTACTTCAACATGAGGAGGTTTGGGATCTCTCTGCATCATCTGCAATAGCTCACATGTACTTCTGGATTTCCCGACGTCTACATGCCACAATTGAATCTGGGAAAGATGTTGTGGAAACTGTTTCAGATATCACAAGCCGGTTTACTAAAGAAAAAGAGAACTTGGATGTATATCCAGATCCTTCCGGTGATCCAACAAAGGTAAGGCACGCTTCAGGTTAGTTTTGATGTGGAAGAAGTGAAATCTCTAAAAATTGCTCGCTATTTTTCAATGCCTACAATGAATGATATTGAATAATTTTTCAATGTTTCTTCTTTTGCCCAAAAGCCCTGGGTAGGGCTTGATTGGCACCATATAGCCATTTTTGTTCTCTGAACCAAGGCTTTAAGTTATATTTCATGTGCCCGTATCATCATCATCAGTTTAGCTTTTTCCCAATTAATTGGGGTCGGCTACATGAATCCTGGTTCAACATTCTGCTCTATTAAAGGCCATATCCTCAGTGATATCATAAGTACCCATATATTTTCAGACTACTTCCAACCCCATCCTTTTGGGCCTGCCTCTTGCCCGTTTCAGTCTTTCCTGTACTTGGTCGGCGCCACACATGGCCAGCCCACCTAAGTCTACTGTCTCATTTTATTGTCTATTGGTGTCACGCCTAAATTCTCTCAAATAGATTCATTTCGAATTCTGTCCCTTCTTGTCTTGCCACTAATGCATCTCAACATCCTCATCTCTACTACACTTATTCTATGAGCATTGTTTTTCGTTCGCCCAACATTCCGCCTCATAGAGCAAAGCTGGTGTCACCATTGTCCTATAGAACTTTCCCTTCAGCCTCATTGGTATGTGGCGATCACATAAAATTCCAATTGCACATTTCCACTTCGCCCACCCAGCTCTAATTCTGTGTGCGACATTTTCCTCGATCTCACCATTTTTTTGGATTATCGACCCAAGATATCGAAAGTGCGGTCTTTTTTTACTTCCTGACCATCAATCTTAACTACTTCCTTGTCTCTACACCTATTATTACTAAACTTGCACTCCATATATTTTGTCTTAGTCTGAATAATTTTAAAACCTTTGGATTCTAGAGCATTCCTCTAAAGTTCTAACTTTGTGTGGACGCCGTTTTGGATCTCGTCAATCAAAACTATGTCATCTGCGAACAACATGCACCATGGTACCTCATCCTGTAGGTGCCTAGTTAAGTCGTCCATAACTAAGACAAAGAGGTAGGGTTCAATGCTGACTCTTTATGTAGGCCTATTGTCGCTGAAAACTCACTCGTCTCTTCCCTAGTTTGTAGCCTAGCTAGCGCTCCATCGTACATATCTTTCACTAAGTCAAATGTATTGTCTAGAGACGTCTTTCTTTTCCAACACTTGTCAAATCAAATCTCGAGGTACTCTATCATAAGCTTTCTCTAGACCAATAAAGACCATGTGGAGGTCTTTTCTCTTGGCCCTAAACTTCTCAATCAGTTGCCTAAGTAGGAAAATAGCCTCAGTTGTTGACCTTCCTGACATAAAACCAAATTGATTTTCAGATACACTTGTTTCATGCTTTAGTCGTTGCTCAGTGACTCTCCCTGAGCTTCATAGTATGGTTCATAAGCTTATCCCTCGATAGTTTGCACAATTTTATATGTTTCCTTTGTTTTTGTAGATAGGTACCACAATACTTTTCCTCCATTTGTCTGGCATTTTCTTTATTCTCAACACCTCGTTGAACAACTTCGTCACTCAGTCAATGCCAATTTCCCCCATGTATTTTCAAACATCTATTGGGATACCATTTAGTCCCAAAGCCTTTCCTATCTTCATAATTTTTAAAGCTTCTTTCACTTCCAACATCCTAATCCTACGCATGTATCTATGGCCTCCGTTTTCACTTGTATGTACGGTCCCTTCTACCACTATGTTTCCATTGTGTTCGTCATTTAATAATTTTTGAAAATAGACTCTCCACCTTTCATGAGGCCCATATGAGAGGAATTATTTGCAATTCTAGGATATGATTAAATATTACTAACCACAATTGTCTCCAAACAGAGTTGGCAAGAGAATTTTTTTAATAGGTTCTAGAGGGTGAGGATATGGATCTTGGGACCTATCTGGGCCTCTTTCTTCCTGAATTTGTTTTATTTATTTCCTTTCAGATTTTGATGGATTATTCCATTGCATTTTGCATTTGTGACATAAAACTACATAAAGTTCCATGAATTTGCCTCTTAGGATCTATTATAAGCATAAATGAATAGGTTATGTCAAGCTAGACTTGTTACTTGAAAGCATGTATTACTTGACTTTCGCGTGTTCTGAAAATTTATATTTATTTTTTTCGTTTTGATCAGTACTTCCAAACGGATGATAATTTCCAAAGAGATGCCTACCAGATTGCACTTTTCTTGGCTGTGATCTACTTTATTGTACAGTTTCTGAGGCTAACTCTGTGAATGAAAGGAACTTCGCATTCTTTCTTGTAATTATGTTGTATACAATGATGTAATGGTATGCACTTTATCTTCTCGTCTGAATGGGATTCTTTGCCTTTTGCCTTGTGAATATGTTGAATATTTGGTTGTTTTTTTTTTTTTGTTTTTTCTGATGCATGTTAAGGCAAGGGCAATTCGTCCTTTTGAGAGAAACAGGTCACATTTCCCCGTCCTTTCTGTCATGGCTATTGCTTTCTTGTTACAATGGTTGTTGCCATCATATTTGGTGATTCAATTTTGCACAGCGGGATCTATTTGGTTGTTTCCAGATGCATCATAAAATACTCTGACATTTACTTTTATGTCCAGTTTTCTCTGGCGTAAAAAAGTCTGCTTGCTTTTGGTTTTAGGAAGAACTGTTTTGTATTGCATGGGCAAAAACACTTCCTCCCATTGACTGAATCACGTTAGTGTTTATTTTGTGCCAATCATTGTTATACAAGTTGTGTCGGATTTGCGGTAGCATGATGATTTTTCTAGTGTAAACTTCAAGGTGATGCAACATGGTGACCTGTTAATTTTTCAGGGTTGCTTTCTAAGAACAAGTTTGAGAAACTAACGATCACTATTTTATTTGATTCTTAGATCACAACCTAATACAATCCTCAACTCCTCAGGCTTATTAATTCCTTGTAAATATTCTCTCAACACACACCTTGAAAACAAAACGGAGACCTAAATGCAAAAGTATGGACGTACTCTAGAATATTCACTCATCATTATTCAAGAGTTTCTAGAAACTTCTATGGAGAGACAATTTTACATGTTCTTAGAGAACAAAGTTTTGAATGAATGGTCTTGAATTTCCTGCTCGACTTTCTCGCACCTTACTCTTTCTCATCTTCTCAACTATCAGTTGATATGGGCCCTTATTGAGTACTGCTGAATTCAGATCTATTCTTCCTTGTGGGCTATGCTGCCCATGAAACAAGTAGGGCTGGCAAGACCCGGACCCAACCCGAGAACCGTCGGGCAGATCTGACTTGGGTCCGGGTATGGCTCCAAAACTTGGACCCAACAGGTCAGGTCCGAGTCCTTTCTAACTGACCAGAAACATGTCCTGGTCGAGTACGAGTCCCAATGGACCTGACCAGGATTTCTTACATATTAATTAATATATTAATTTTATATTTAAGATTAAGTTAAGGGAAAAGTTTATATAGAACCGAGGCTCTAAACAATTAAATTGGAGCCTACCTCAAACATTTCATTAGAAGAGATTGTTTTGATGTCCAAATATCTTCAAATTCATCATCTCGACATTAAGATGTATGGATATGAGAAAAAAATGGATTTAAAGTTTTGAAAATAATGTATTTTGTAATGCATTTTTGGACCATCAATTTTCAAGTTTTTATAGATATGTCAATCCAAACT